GTCTTTTATGAGTTCCCTTCCTTTTCCGTTTTTCAGTCAGCACTTGACTATGTCTCTTAACATCGGTTTGATTGCCCTATCGCACATACAACATTAAGCTACGTCGAGATCCATCACATTTGCTGATTTCCGCGCGTTAAAAATGTTGCGTCACTGAATGTTATCGATTTATTATTATCTTTCTCTGTTGTATTCTTTTATGTTCTTTTTATATCTTTTATATTATATTCTTTTTACATCTGAGGAGGGCTCAATCCAGCAGCCGAAACTTGTTTGTTTTATATTTTAATATACGCCGTTGTACTTTTTATTTTATTTTATGTATCTTTGACTGTTATCTTTAATTATATATATTATGCGACGACTCTTTTTCGCCATTTATTTTGTTTATTTTGTTTTAAATAAAAGATTATTGTCCACGCACGGTGATGCTGTAAACATCGTAAAACTTCGACCGCGCGCGAGTTCCACACCTGTTACATCAAAAGAGAGAGTTCCACGTCGATTGCATCGAGAGCCCGAGGAAGGAGAAAAACGTAAAAATTACGAACAAGAAATAAACGGAGAAAGTTCGTTGATTCTTTTTCGTACACGAAAAACTGATCAAAGATACCCCGTATGTTTGCAAACAGGGAAAAATCGATTGCTTGGTTGGAAAAAATTGAGATAACGATGACGTTTGAAAAACTATACTACGATCCATCGAATTATGCGGGTTATTCGGCGGTGGATAATCTAGCTCGCGCCGTTAAACCGAATTTCTCGTGGGGAAAAGTCGCTAAAAATCGCTGGCTCGAATCGCAAGACGCATACACATTGCACCGACCATTGAGCAGAAAATTCTACGATTGCATTACAACGTGACAAACATTGACGATGTGTGGGAGGCAGATTTGATCGAACTCCGAAATCTAAAAAGTAACAATGAAAAAGTTACTGTTATTCCTATTTGTTAGTAATTATTGATGTATTAAGCAAATATGTCTGGGTAGAACCGCTACGTGACAACAAAAAACGAAAACAAGCAACAGCGTGATAAAAACTTTTCAACGCGTACTAGCGGAAAGCGAAGGATGAGTACCTGTATACTTACAAACGAACAAGGGTAAAGAATTTGTCGCGCCCCAATGCAAAAATTTCTTAAAGAAAACGACATTCGTTTTCGAGTAATACGCAATCCAGATATTAAAGCCTTCATCTTCGAGCACTTCAACAGAACATTGAAGAAGCGAATGAATGGCGTTATTTCATGCATAAAAATACGCGATACTACGTCGATGTTCTACAGGACATTGTACGTGCTTACAATCACACGCGTCACTCGTCCACGAGAATGCAACCTGCGGTAGTAACGAGAGAAAACGCCCGTATCGTTCGTGAAAATATATCACGTCGTTGGAAAAGCGACATATTAAAGAAACGAACGCAAAAGATTAAATATCGCGTTGGAGATCTCGTTCGTATTAGTAGGACGAAAGCAGCCTTCGAGAAAAGTTACGAGGCTAAGTGGAGCGAGGAAATATTTCAAATTTATCGTGTTTTTAATTAGCGAAACACGTGCACGAGATGCGAGATTTAGCAGACAAAGTCATAGGTATTTTTTATGAGCAAGAATTAGCTCGAGTTGAGAAAAACCTAGAGGAAGAACAGTTTATCGTTGATCGCGTGATAAAGAGTAGGGGACGAGGAGCTAATAAGCAAGTGCTAGTTAGTTGGCGTGGTTATCATAGTAAGTTTGATACCTGGATTCCGGCATCTAGTTTAATTTCTCTTCGCGATGGAGGAGGAACAATTTCTTCTGGTACTTCCGAGTAACAGCAGTATGCGTCATTTTCCGAATAATACAACGTCGTCCTTCATCACGGAATTACCTCTCTCTATAGTGTTGCACGGAGAATGGGAGGTTGCGATAAGTGAGATTCAATGTCCCTGTATCTTTCTACACGTACGTCATAATGGAAATGTAATCAGATTCGTCGATGTTAAACCCGATGAGGAGACGAATGGCCCGTTTATGGCAAAAGAAGCTTCATTTTCAAATGGAATTTACAACGATATCCATGAGCTTATTGAGGCGATTAATATTGCGTGTAAAGATGCCGAATCGCATTTTTATTTCGAACAGCAAAGAGCGTCTGGCGGCAAAATCTACATAAGTATTAACTGCGACAAAAAATGCAAAATGCTATGTCATATAAACTTTTCTGATAATCTTCTACGAATGCTTGGTTTCTCAGCAGCAATTTCCAGTAAACACCAATTTTATTCTAAGCTCGCGATAAACTTAATTTCAATGAGACAGAAGAGAAAACGTTTCTTACTCACGGATTTAATAAGAAGACGGGGCAATCACATACAGTCGGATATTGGAGTGTCGAATATAGTTTGTGGCGTGCTATCTCTGATAAAATGTTCGTATATTGCGATATTTGTGTGCCTTATATAATAGGTGATGTGCGTACTCTTCTTCTCAGAATAGTACCGAACGAGATACGCAGTCATAATTACGCACTTGGTGCAAATTTAGTGAAGCATTTCTCATTTCCAAATTATATCCCATTGCAACGAACAAATTTCAGAATGATCGAAATAGATATAAGAGATCATCTTGGAAATAAAATTTTATTCGAATTCGATACGCTGACTGTGACACTGCACTTTAAACATGAGCAATAACTTTCTTTCGTGTACGCGAGCGTAACGGTAGTGTCAGTCTGTAGTTAACAACTGACAATGGAATGTGAGGAGTATTTTGATGCGTGGGACACCGGTAGCAGAGGTGGAATTCCGCGTGTTTTCATCGGTTCACCCTATCAACGTGGGCATGGAATCGGAAGCTTTCTCGGAGGGTTATTTAGAAAAATACCACTTTTTCTAAATAAAGGTGCGCGTGCTGTAGGAAAAGAAGCTTTACGCGCTGGAATTAATGTGATCGAAGACGTCGAAAATAATAAACCGTTAAAGGAAGCGGTCAAAAGTCGGCTCGCGGAATCGAGGAGTAATCTGAAGAAAAAAGCCAAAGAAAAAATAAGCTTTCTGATGAGAAGGGTCTGGATATAAAATATCCACGAAATCCGCGGTGCTTCAGTTTCCACTCGATGGTCGACATAGACGTATCGCGCATCGTAAACGACGTCGAGGGATCAAAAGAAAATCATCGAGAAGTACCACAGGGAGGAAGAACAAAAAAGTGAAGAAGAAGAAAAAGAAAATTCGTGCTGCAGGAAGAAAAACCAAAAAACCATCCGCTAGGAAACATCGTGCCAAAAAACGCGACGTATCCGACATATTCTCTTAATTGAGATACGATTTCGCAGCTAGAGAAAAGCATGTCCTTTCTTCATACCCACTCAAGCGAGAGCTTGAAATATAATAAAGAGCGAACTCGATCTCTTCTCTCTGCCACCTACGCAAACCAGCATTGAGACTTCGCAATGGATTTATTACAAACCCATAACTTCGCTCGCAGACGACTCGACGAATAGAATTCGTTATACTCGCACATGGAGAAGACTATCTGGACCTCACTCGCATCATGTTGAGCCTTCGTATACGTGTAAAAAGCGAACGCGGGGAGAGCACCGAACAGCGGGGCAAAAGGCCTCGTAAATCATTTAGTGTATTCCATGTTCAACCAAATCGACGTATATTTCAATCAAAAGCTCGTATCGCCACCAAACAATGCTTACGTGTTCTGCGCGTACATCGTGATGTTAGTAAATTATGCTTCACCCGCAAAAACCTCCCATCTAACCTCTTGCTTATGGGACGCGGATATCCCTGGTTACATGAACGATACGTTAGACGCGTCAAATCCAAATACAGCGCTCGAGATACGCGCGCAATACATTCGAGGAAATCACGCCCTAGATCTTATTAGTCATCTTCACTGCGACGTTTTTAATCAAGATAAATTTTTGAATAACAGAGTGGAGGTTAGAATGAGACTCGTACGTTCGAAAAATTTATTTTGTCTTATGGAGAGTAAAACGTTATCAAAAATACGCATTCTTGACGCCAGTCTACTCGTAAGAAAAGCAAAAATAAGCTCGGGCGTGCTCCTCGCGCACGCCAGAATGCTGAGTAAACCTACTGCCAAGTATCCCCTTACGAGGACCAAAGTTAAAACATTCACGATACACTCCGACGTCGTGGGGGAATCAATAGACAACGCAATACTCGGACAGCTACCGAAACGAATAATAGTCGGCTTTGTATCAAGGCGTTTAATGGTGAGAAAATTAAACCCATTTAATTCCAAAAATTACGGAATAAATTTCTTTTCACTGTACGCCGATGGCATGCAAATTCCCAGTAGACCGATTCAACCAAATTTTTCAAAAAACGAACTCTACATTGAAGCTTATCACACATTATTCTCGGGAACCGGCATTCACTTTCTAAACGAGGGTAATTCTATAAGTAGAGATGATTACGCCAACGGCTACACTCTTTTCGCTTTCGATGTTACTCCAGATCTATTCGCTAATTGTGCTGGACATTGGAATCTCGTAAAACGCGGAAGCTTACGATTAGAAGTGAGATTCGAAAAAGCTCTTTCTGTGACTATTAATTGTATCGTTTATGCCAAGTTTGATAACGTTTTAGAAATCGACTCTTCACGTCAAGTCATTGTCGACTTTTCGAATTGAAACGTTGGCTAATTATATGACATAGCAGCAATTCAAGTTACGATAGCCTTTCCTCAGAAAATTGGAGCGAGATCGTCGAGAGCGAAAAAACCGACAGCGAGAATTCTTCAATTCAATTTAAAAATCAGAAACACGATGTCGGTCGCAACATTCAAGCGTGGAAGAAAAATATCGCGACAGAAAAGATGAACCAAAGCGCGGACAAACAAGCGACAGACGAGGAGAAAAAAGATCTCTCGAAATTCGACTCGTGGACTGATAGAGATAAAGCTAATAGCGTCTCGCAAGCGTCGAGCATTTTAGGGAACTCCACGTTGTATACGCCGGCAAAAGAGGTACATTTTGAATTTACGCAAACATTTCCTCGCTCACGCTCTCCGACGACGAGAAATGAATTCGCTGAAAGTTTTAAACACATTACATCATCTCAATGTACGACATGCGGGGGTCTATCTTGCCGATCGACTGCCGAGGGTGTGGACGAAGTCGACCGCCATTGTCACTAACACGAACGATCATGATCGACCTGACCAACACTGGATCGCCTTTTACATCGATGAACACGGAATAGGAACATATTTCAACAGTTTGCCATCCTTGAATCCAAGATTCCTCTTACGACTTCGACGAAACTCGACCACGTATCGATGGAATACGACAATGCTGCAAGGAATACTTTCTCTCTTGTAGACAATACTGCTGTGTATTTCTATATTATTTGTGGCTATAATCTTAATCAGTTTCTTGATCTGTTTATCTCTGATTGTAAGCAAAATGATCGATTGTACAGTTATTTCATAAAATTTTTCTTCATTGTTAAACATAAATTCGTAAATTCTCATATTGTATGCCGTCATGTTCAAACGTGTACTCTTTCAAAAAAATAAAATAACTATTTCATGTAACATCTCTTTTAAATAAATGTTTTTGAACTTGTAAATATTGCCTTGTTTCTTATTCCTACCCCTCATCCTTATTTACAATAGATACATTTTCCCTCGTATTACAGACTCAGATAATATACATTAAGTACATAAAATATAGAAAGAATTTTCTTAAAGCAATGCTCGAAAACGTCGCGCAGGTTGAACATGTTCGTTCCTGTTTTACCTCCCCCAAATTCTTCCGAACAAAAGCAAGACTCTCTCTAGACCCGCAAAGTTTTGTATAAGATCTCCTCTCTCATACATAAATAACATTCACTGAAACGCCTACACGTCGGAGACGTTGCGTCGCGACAACAAAAAGTGACCGTCATAAATTCGACCGCTATTCATCCCCCGCTGTTCATACTCTGCCCTCGCGACAAAAGAATGTTGCAGTCTCAATCTTCACTCATCATTTTTCAGACTTCCATTTTGTCTGAGGCCTTCTACCACCCACCCTCTCCAATCACCTTATGTAGGTATGAAGCGAATCAATCAAATCTTTGGCAAGTATAGGGCGAACCAATCAGAACACACCATTTAATTATCCTATTATCCCCACCCTTCACTCCTCGATCAATCAGAACGCGCCCTTTCTTCAGACTGACCCATCTAGGTCAAGTCCACGGCGCCGGAGGGAGACGTGGAGGGGATTTGTTTTTACGCCCCATGGCTACCCATATACTACTCCCGAACAACCAAATGCCGCTGATGTTCAAGCCATCAATACCTGCGTTATTGCTCGATTGCATTTTTTTAAATAAAATATTTTTTAAATACTACATATAAACCAATGTAATAAAAATAATAATATAATAAATAGTTTCGTATTTTTTAATCACTGTTTGTTTCTTCTATCCTTCCGTATACCTGATCCACAGCGATTCTATATTGTTCTTGATATTATTGCTATTTTCTATTCAGTGATTTTTATACACGTGTACAATCATAAAAGACCTGTTTTGTATAAAAAAATAGAAGA